CTGCGCGACGTGCAGCGAGAGGAGAGGAGAGGAGAGGAGAGGAGAGGAGAGGAGAGGAGAGGAGAGGAAATGATCCCGCGACACGACAACTTTTCTATAGCGGGAGGAAATTTTGAGGATTTATCCTCTATACGCGTTTTAAAATGCTAGAATTTCTTCATTATATTTTGAACTCCTGCTCAGTTGTCTCTGCACTCGCAGCCCTGTTCACACAGGTGTGATGACGTAATGACGATAGGACGGCAGAGTATAAATTTCAACCATAGGCCAACTTCATGCCGTTTCTACCGTCTACCACGTATACCGCACAGCCCTAAATAATATATTAATTTGTTTGGATGATGATATGATATTTCTTAATATCCCCAAAGTCTGTTAATATATGATTACGATTCAATTCAATTCACAAGTCTGCTATCAAAATGATGTGGTATCATATGCCTATCTAACATAAATAATTGTGTTACTGTAGATGGACATATTCGATCGATTTTAATTTTTTTTGCCTTTTTTCCCATTTTGACTCGATGTAATTGAATTGTAATTGAATCTGTAACCATTTAATGGATGTTACATGTATTGTTACACCCCGGATGGGTAGGCAAGCAGGTAAGTAGATAGGTATGTTGATGGATATGTGTTTTCAAAATAGTCACCTTTTTCTTTTTTTCTTTCTTTTTCTTTTTCTTTTATATCATGTTATTTCTTTACTTTCTGCAGAACAACAACATATGAAGATGTTCTACTGGTGAACTGAGGTGGATCTCTGCTTCCTCACCTACTGGACAGCTACGCACACTCCACACGATCTGGATCTGGATCGAAGGTCGACACAGATGGAGGAGTTGTCATAAAACTGGACCAGCAGACAGAACTCTTTGAACTCTCCGTTATTCCTGAACAAAACAGAAGCTTTCAACCTGTGAGGAAAAAGACTGAGTAGGATCATTGATGACTACTAAACAAACATTTCTGTTTTTATTTGTTGTTTAGAACAAAATGCAGTATTGTTGTCTTTGTTTTTATTGGTGCACAGAGCTGAACAAAAGCARCACGACCTCTTGGTAAAAGGTGGCACGGGTTCTACGATGTGGACTGAGAAACGTACCTGACTGTTTTATTTTATTTTATTTTTATTTTATACTCCTTTTAAATGAACATTTTTGTATTTCTGATTTTAATTATAATTTTTTTTAACTAGGAAAAAAAAACATACTGGAGTATTTCAATAGAAATGTAAGGAAAAAGGCTCCACTTTTTGTTCCCAAAACAGGAGTTTAGGCAGATATGATCTGTTTTTCACGCAAGAAGTGTTATCTTTAGTAGTATCTTCATCATCGTTAAAGGTGGTGTACTGACGTAAGTTTAACATAGCTGGGATTTWTTTTTCTGTAGCCTGGCTTGACAAAACCTAAAACTCTTTAAGAGCTAACAGTTAGTATGTGTCGTGTGTGCACGTTCACAAGAAAACACGTGCTCCACGCATCATTTAATGCCTTTTTTCACTCAAAACATGCCAATCTTGCCTTCATTCAGAAATATTGTAGCCTGATAATATAGTAAATATAAAGGAAAACAATGTTTCAGTTAGGAAAAGAGAGGGTGTTGCAGAAAACTGTTAGTTTAAATTAAACTATTTGCTTCTGTTTAAATTGGGACAGRAAGATGTGAAGCTTTTAACTCCAACAATCAAAGAGGTTTATTTAGCTTTGACTCCATCCCCTGGTCTAACCGTTACAGCAACAGTGTGGGTGAGAAAAATGGACCTGACTCCACTCTCATCTTCCCCACTCTGGGCCCTTTAGCAAGGCCCTCAACCCCCACATCTGCTCCCCCGGGTGYCCTGRATGGCAGCTTCCAGCTCYRCTCAYGTGGACCTCAGTAGCTCGGTCATTYAGTGAAATCACTCKCTAAATCCTCATTCGAGTGGGAAAGGGAGCATCCCAAAGAAGAAAAAAGAACATTTCATTGAACAAATCAAATGCTGTTTATAAATATTCTCTGACAAACAGAGGTATTGACTAACTCTGTCTAACATTAACTGTTTAATGGATGTCTCAGTAAATGTAAACCATGTGAAAAACCGTTTACAGCTCTTTGCATGTTTGTGTTTTTTATTTTATTATTTCTCACTGCGAGTTTCGAGGTGTACTCCTCAGCTGTTTGGTCCTGAAAATCATGTTTATTAATGAGATCATTTCAAAACGTTCTAGTCAGATTAAACCGTTGTGCCTACGTATGGATTACATTGTGTGATTAAATGAAAAAAGGCATGTGTGTGTCAGGAAGGGCATCCAGTGTAAATAATCGCCATAAGAAAATAACACCATTTTTTTTGATAATCCGATATTTATTTTTAGATGTTCCAGCACAAAGTAAAATTGCGATGGCGTATAGATGTAGTTTCAGTCAGACTTAAGTGTCTGGGACATCATTAGGAACAGAAAAAGTGAAGAGGTTGAGCTTCTTCCTGACAGTAAATAAAAACTTTAAACTCTGTTCAGCCTCTGTTGCCATGCTGATCCATCTGCGCTCAAAGAAATCCTCTTTCATGGAACAGAAAACTCTGACTTTCAGCCTCATGTTGCCTGTAATCTGAGCCTGTAATCTCACTTCGTATCACAGCRTCACGTCGATCCGCAGCGTGGATCTGAGTAAAGTTTATTGCTGTTATTGTGAACRAGATCTGYTAAATGATGTTTATTCTCAAGAAAMTACATCATTATGTAGTAGTTAAAATGATAAAAGCTCTCGTTATCTCCCCCATTTCCTCTCTCTGAGGTAAATCAGACGATCATTACCAAATCGGATCTGATGTTAACAGCTGGATCTTAGTGAAAACGAGATGATTTACTGACAGCAGAAAAAATAATGCCTTTTTTGTTGGGGAACAAACTTGTATTTGTTTTGTTTTTATTGCATCAGACGCACAATAGTTTCAGAAATTTAAGAACAAAAGTGGGCTATTGAAGCTCATTTTGTCTTTTAGTTAAATATTTTGATAAATTTTGGACGATAATAACAAATGTGTCAAATWGACTGGTGGCTTTGAWGTTAAATATTGCATCATATGTTTAYTGTYTTGTATTAACAAGATGCATGTTTGATTCAGTCGGGGGATTGTCTGTTTTTCATTATTTTGAACTTGGACTTGACAGATGTACACAATATGASTTCATCTTGTGTCTTCAACAGTAAACTGACATTTCTTATTGAAAAAACATTCCTAGTTTGYTTCTCAATTTGTTTTCTTTCTTTAACTCATTTAGATTTACAAATATTAATAGCTGATTTAAAAAAACTCATTACATCTTTGTTTTCTGGTTGAGTTTGTTTCAATGTAACCTGTTTTTTTTGTGCAGTTATGCTGACTTTTCAGCAGAGGGAGCGAGAGCGTCGAYTTCAACAAACTTGCTCTAAAGTGAGGTTTTTGTTCTTTGCAGGTGAAAGTGTTGCACCGAGGAGGGAGAGCGAGAGAGGGAGAACAGGCGAGGTTAAACATTTATGTGCATGTTTCTGCAGAGATGCTGCAGCTGAAGTAGAGTTAAAACTCCACRCATTCTTTGTCCAGATGATATGATGATGTCATTTCCTGGCTTCTCAGCTTAGCTGAGGTCATATCATAATGCTGACAGGGTTCAGGCCCAAGCAGAACAGGAATGGAGTATATCCTGTTCATACAAATATTGCTAAAAGACACACACACCTACAAAAGCTCATATCCGAGGTCTGTATTGGTGTGTCAGTGTGCTATCATTGGACCTTTTGTTTGACACCAGTTTGATCTCATTACCTTGATTGTGCTTCACTGTTTGAACTTTTTATATCAACAAAGCAGCTCGGATCAGAACCTTTCTTTTTCCTTATTTCCACTGAGACAATGGATCAGCAGGGACTTGGCTGTGTGTGTGCAGCTGTTCTCGCCGTGGCTTGTTTAGGCAGATTATTCATCCGCAGACCACATGAAATAAAATAAAAAACACACACGAAACAACCACAAAGAAACAAGTCTGTGTGGCTAAAGGCTGTTTGGATTTTCAGTCCTTGTTAATTCTGTTAGAGCCCAGAGCTGAGCCACACCCTTCTCTAACAACATTATGGAGCAATCTGTGATGGACGGCAGGAAGTGTGGGGATTTATAACCCTTTTCAGTGCTGGCTGAGATAGATGGATGCCATTAGTGTCTGGTTTAGAAATAAAAGAGTTGAAAATGTGTTTAGATGTTATATTGCTCTTCAGGATCAGAGGACTTCATACATTCAGCTTCTATCTTTTAGAATTTAACCAGCTTGTTGCCACTTTTAGCTCCTAGCTAACCTTTTGAGCCTTTTACCTAACYTTTTGCAGCTTTYGGGTGCTTTTAATATTCAGYTTTTAGCTRGTGTTCTGCTTCTTTTAGCTTTAATGACTCAATTTCAGTTTTTTAAACTCCTTTCAGCAGAGTCACTCAGCATTGTCGCTGCAGTTTCTAGCTCTCAGCTGAAACTGTGTCCTATAGGAGCAGAGAAAAGATGAAACTTCAGGGAGAATTTCAGATTCTCCASCTCTTGTTTGGCTCGGAGCTCCTCGTGGACTAAAAACTCTGACAGGCTGCTGATGAAACAGCTGTCAGAACCMTGTAAAGGCAGCAGAACAAGTCCCCGACATGTGCATGCACCAATGTGGCAGATCATGTCTTGTAAGCCTTCACTCAGCTTTCTTTATTTTTTCCCCCCAGTTGCATTTTTGTGTTAAACGCCTCCTTTCTTTCCTCTTGTCKTCAGGTTTTAATGGAGAAAACAGCAGCCGATGCCAGATGTCTGAACCCTTTTTTACRCAGACTCAGTCCTCTTTGTGTTTCTTTTCTTTGTTTACTGCACTGAATCCCCCAGCTGCATGGAAAAGAAACAATAATCAAACAAAAAGCATTCATCTACATCCACTGTGAGCTCATAGAGGAGAAAGTCAAACTGTGGCTACGGGAAATTAGCTCTGTAAACCTCACAGAAGCCTTCTCAGGATATCAGCTTTCAGCTACTTAAAGAGAACAGAAACTCCTCTGTTCATGGAGCTTCTGCAATTTAGTGTCTAAGGTTTTGTTAAAAGCAGGGAAAATAAACTTTGTGATGAAAGAAATCAGAACAGAGAGTGCTAGTTAAGAGTCTGCTATTTTTATAGACATAAATGTCCTGGAAACTGAGATTTTTTWWAATTATTTTRTACATTTACACTGTGAAAACTGCTGCAATCTAAGAAGCTAAACTTTGGCTGTTTTATGCTGCATCTAGTATTTAAATTAATTATAGTCATAGTCTGCAGCCATGGGGGTAGGGGTGAAACATAGCACCTACCAAGATGGCGGCACAAATTGTCATCTTGTTAGTAAAGCTAGCAAGACGAATTCCCAGTTGATTGGAGATAAGTGATCCCAGTGGCGACTCTATTTCTCCAAAGTGAGGTTACTCAAAGAGCTATCTACAACAGATAATTGAATAATCATTCATAATATTTACGGAGAASCACGTAAAATGCCTCATAATGTGCAGAGTTCAGTGTCACTCCTGTTTAGCATAGCCACCAGTCTCGTGGCTGTGATTGGACGGCTCGCGGGATTTGTCTGCATCTTTTCTTCTTCGTTTTTTTATTTTTTATTTTTTTTGCTGCCTCGTCACTCCCCCCTCCTCCTCCCTCCTGCACCGGGTCCATCCTTTAAGAAGCTGCCCAAGCCGCCTGTCGTGGTTCAAACGTGGAGGGAAGGACACGCGGAGGGACGCTCGTAACTGAGCGCGCGGCTCCATTGTTTTACTCAGATTTACGGCTGGTTCTGGTTCTGGTATTCTGCTCACGTTAGATAGTCCGGACGGGAGGAGCTGCTTGTATCTTCGGGAGACTGTTTTTGGAGGAGCGGAGACCACGGTCAGAGAAAGAAAGAGAAATAAGGTAATGGACACTTTATGTTTGTAGCGCGTGCAGCGTCCAGTCTCTGCCTGCTGGCCATTTTTTGACTTATTTAAAAAAAAATCATGACCATGTTTTGGGTCTAATCTTTAAATGACGTTTGTTTTAAACCCAGACAGCCTTTGTGGTGTCGAGTGACCGGTGTGTAGCTGGTAGCAGGTCGGTTCAGACAGCTGGGGCGGTGGTTTCAGTCTCTTTCACTCCCTCTCATTTCAGTCTGTCGACGTTGTTTCAGGGTTTAATTTATTATTGATTAATTTCATGTGTTTCACCCAACCAGCCACCCCCCTCCGGACGTTTATAGCTATTGTTCTGAGAGGCTGAACCGGGCCTTTTAGCTGAACCTGAGGGTGCAGCTTGGCTTGCTTGTTCCCAAAGAYCCTAAAACGCTCTTAAATGTTTATTTTATATGTTGAATCCCAGACTGTGGTRTGAAAAACCTTTCTAAAGTAGTGCACATTGATTTTTTTAAGTTTCTCACAAAGATTATGATCTTGTTTTCATATTTCCAGCCCTGCACATGAAGTAATCTCATTGTTGACCCGGCAGGATAAAGAAAGCAGCCTATCAAAATGCAAATCTGAGTGATGGAGAGATGCTGCTTATCCTCCTGGTTTTGGCTCAGAGTTTTCATTACATAATCCCTTCCCCTGTGCGTTGGGCTTGACTGGGTGTGGTTGGCCCGGTTTGGATTTAGAAGTAGAGACTCTCCCTGGCTTCAGAGACCCTTCAGTGGGGTATGTATGTATGTGTGTGTGTATATATGGGGCTTTTTACATAAAAAACACTTCACACACCAACCAGGGTGTGAATTACAGCCTCATAATGCTGCTTCTGGATGAACTCCAGGTTCACTGGGTCTTGTTTCATAACATTTATCCAGAATGCCACAACAGCTGAATTGAACCCATTTAAAAATCTGTRATGTAAGTAGTTAACTGGTTTCTTTTAAAGCCTGTAAGACATGAAACACACAAACGACACATGTGACACATTGTCCAGTAGTGCCTTTTTTAATATGTTGGAGAAACCTCCGAGCATCGAGGATTGTAGTTTTTATTCTAAGCAGGTTTTCGGTTTATCGTTAGGGTTTGTGTCGAATACAGCTGTGTTTTTAGTGCTGCACAGCCACTTTCCCTCTCCACACCTTTTTTTTTTTGTTTCCCTTTCCTCATCCTGACAATGCATAGGAGTTCAAAATAAATAGGTCTGTCATCTCCGTGCTTCCTCTGACGTCCATGAGTCTGCAKTGATTCTTTAGGGATGACTTTTCTTGAAGGAAACTGAATTTTCTTCATTTGGACTGGGTGAAATGTGAAGTAAACATACTGATGTGACACTTTGCATGACTGCAAAAACACAAAGAACCAAGCGAGGTGATGATGTACACCAGTGCTCTCYGTTTTCTGATGGAGCAAAACCGTCCTTGTTTTTAATAAATGCCAGTCTTCTACTGAAACACTTTCACAGTCGGACAGTGAAAGCAAATTCATACCTACCTTGTGTAGCATAACTTCTATTTCCTTTTTAGACATTTTAAAGTCTGGCATGGCTCTATAAATGTTKGTAGCAGTCAAAGCTTTGCTTGCGAGATAAAAGACCATTTTCATCACACAACTGCTCCTATGAGAGTCTTTCAAAGTAAATAAATAGAGCTTAAACCTGGTTGTTGTTGGCATGTGCTAAGCAGTGATTGTTGCTTTTTGTATTTAGTTTAGACTCTTAAAAGAAGCTAAAGGACTTCCGACATGTCTGAGAGTCCGCTGCACATCTCAATACATTTGCATAAGAAGATGATTTGTGGCTACGCCCTTCAGGAAGTGTCAGTTTCAGACCCACGCCTGTGGAAATAGAAAACAAACTATCCTGTCTGTCAGGATCTGTTTTAGCAACACACACAGGGTTAATCTATGTTTCATCGCTCACTTTCAAAGTTAGTTCAGTGTTTGGTTTTTAAGCTGTGGGGTTGAGGGACGGAGCAGCGCTGCAACTGTCGTCACTGTGGTTTGGAGGCTGGCACTCTCCTGGCCATTAGGATAAAGTGGTGCGTGCTGGCTCTGCATTTTCAGGCACTGGTTCAGTTTGAGACAGAGGCTGGGCTCGGTGCACTGCAATTATTGAAAGACTAAGTCAGCCGTTAAAAACATTATTTAAAAACATTTTGTTGACTTTAGTTCCCTGAAGTGTAATTCTGCTGTCATTTTTAAGTGTGTTTAAAGCAGTAGTTTGGTTCTGTGGAAAATGGCTAACTAAAATCTGACCTGTCGTGTAGGGCTGCACAATATTGATGGGGCTGTCATTGCGATTTAAATTTATTTTTATTCTAACCTGGCAATTTACATTGCAAAATGTAAAAATACAGGAAATTTTTATTTAAACACTTTAAGTTGTGTTGTCATCCTTTTGAAGATGAACCTGCACCAGTGTTATCTCTCTCTTTTATGCCTATAAGTATGTTTTTGTCTGTATTTGAGTTATCTTTTATTATGCTCTGACCTGAGGACATGTTTCCTTCTATCGTGCCCAAATGATATTTGTTTATTGGGAAAACACAACTTATAGGGCTACAAGTTAGACACAGAGGCAATATTAGCATGAATGCTAATATTAGCATTCGTGCTAAACCGTATCTCCTCTTTTCCATCTTGTCTTCATGAAAACCCTCGTTCATCTACCTCCACAGCTCAAGAACACACTGGCAACTTTTCTCTGAAAAGCGCTGCCATTATGTCCCAGAAGTTTTGCGATAAAGTTTTTTTTTAATACATGAAGCCCATATAGCTGCTTCTGCCATCAAACATAAAAATAAAAGCCATTTAGTAAGTTATGATTTACACGTTGATTTTAGTTTTCCTCCTACAACGCAGGACCTGTGATGTGACCATTGCGCACACATACACGGCGATGATGATGCTCCGATATATCGTGCAGCCATACGGTTGTAGATGGCTTGACGATGTGATCAGAGTTTAAACAAGTCCAGTCTCAACAATATAATAGTGATTTCAGTGTACATTTATATCTTTTAAATCTGTTTCCTACACACTGTTACTTGTATAGGGATTTATGTTTTTTTGCTAGTACAAGCAGCAGCTAGCATTAGCATTTCTGGGCATATTTGTGTTTGAACAACTGTGGTGTTTGCATCTGCAAATATTTAAATGAGTCGCTTTAACATGACTTTAATCTACTTTTGTCCTAGCTTAAACCAGCAAAAAATCAAAATCTTTTTATACATTTCCAAGTCAACAGACCTAAGGTAAAATCTTTTGTACTCAGACTGGTGCATGGGGCAGTGTTTAACAGGCCATTAAACTGTCCATATGAGGCATATGGCCCAGTGTCTTTTTATGACAATGTTTGACCACCTGAGTCACTGCAGGATTTAATCATTTCATCATAATAAGAGGAGGATCAAAGTGTGCAGTTTGTGATGTATGTAGGAGTCCGTGGTGTTGTTTGTTTGTAAAGCTCTGTTTAGAGGTGTGGCTGTCAGCGAGGTGTAGCATCGGAGCCCATCTGGCCTCCGCTCATCCTGCACAGTCACAGAGATAGTAACTGATCTGACCCAGAGGCTATCCAGGATTATATCGACTCTCTATCGACTTGTTTAGAGTGTTGTTTTGTTTTTTGTTTTTTTTCATGAGTGGACTCTGGCTCTTTTTCATAGGAGGGGGAAAGCCAATAAATGTTGCTGCACTATAAAATTTTGTTTTATAATTTGTCATTTCTCTGCTCAGTGTATTTGGTATCCTGTAGTCTAGGTTAATGAAGTTACTTTTGCTATATTCCATTTGTACCAGGCCACCAACCCCTCTCAGTAGCATGCCTGAGGGCTGATGCATGGTTCAAAGTGTGGATAATTGGTTTGCCTGTCTCCTTTTATTATACTAGACACATATTTGTTCATGCAAACCCAAAAGTACTTTGGTTGATGATTGATTATTCAGTTCTAACTCAAAAGTGTGCAATTGGTTGTATTCACTACTGTTGGCTTGTGAGCTCACCAGCATGTGGTGTTGCTTGTAAATGCTGCTGGGTTTAGAACAGCTTGTAACCCATTTCTCTGCAGCCTTTTTGAGACCACTGTGCTGTGATTAGCCTGGGGTTTATGCAGTTATGACAGTCTTGCCTTTCAAGMTGTGGCTTTTAATCATTGTCACTCAACACCTGCTTCTCATTGCCAATTATTTAAATTGATACCTATTTGCCAATTGAATTTATTGGCATGCAGATGGTTGTTGTGGTTTATTTCTATATTGAGTTTATTTGACATGTAATGTGCATTACTGATCCAGAAATCTGTTACTGTAAAGTTATCTCTGCAGGTGTCTCTTTGAAATTTCTAATCTGCAACAGAACAGGAGTAATGTTGGTCAAAATGCTTACTATGGCCTAAAATTAAGGCTAAAATTTTATTCTAGGACATGGGAGGAAATTAGAAATTGTTTTTGAAAATGTTGTTTGCTTTCAGATTACTAAATGCATTTTAAACCAACGTTCTCAATGTCATAGCAAAACTAGCATGTCTTATCAACCCATTTATGATTGGCCTTTATCAGGTGATCTCCACAGCTTCAGCATATTTGAATAATCAGATATCTCGAAGTTTGTGAGCCAGACTTATAATGAGGAAAGCCACATGTTGGTTAGCTTATAATGGAAGACAAAGTGTCATTGGTTCTTGGTTTCACTTCTCTTGGTTTTGTTAAGAAATGTCCCCAAAACTAAGTTGTAGGAATGTTTAGCTGCATGTTCACAAAGCTCTGATGTGCTCTGCCTCTTCTGTCAGCCTGCTGTAGAGGTGTCTGTGTATGTGTCTGATTGGTCTTTCCAGTGGCAGTCTAAGTTTCCTCTCCTCCATCATTCATCAGTTGTGGTGTGTGTGCGTGAAGCACTCGCTCTGCGATGCAACAGAAACTGCACCATTGCCTTGTATGGTCACACCGAGCAGCAGAAATGTACACACAGCTTCTCATTTCTTGGAGTCTGTTGTTGAAGCAACTCGGTCCAATGTGAATTTGGCTCTGAGACCATAAAATGAAGTAAGAGCGAGTATTTTATGTGTCCTGTGGATCTGAGAGGTTTTTGTTTTGGTCTTTTGTTCCAGCATAAATTGACCGTCCTCTTCCTGTCAACTCTTTTTTTAATGTGAACTTGTTTGCACATGGATTAACTTGGATTCCTGTCAGACTGAACTCCCCAGCAGACAAATATCTGAAAGTTATTTGTAAACKTCCTTATGCTTCACTTTATCGACATGTTTGATCCTTCGTATTGCCTGAGAGTCCAGTCACCTTAATCAGCCCGACACTGGTTTGTTTTCGTGTSTAAAGGTGTGGTTCTGGTAAGAGTATCAAAGGTGTCTGTGGAATGAAAKGATGCAGGAAGTGCAGTGGGTCAATAAATTTTAGTGTTTCAGATTTAGGTTTGAATAACTGTTTCCTGCATGCAGACTTTGATCTGTTTATATTTTCTGACTGGAATTTCTCCTATGTATTTACATCTTTGCACTGTTCTTTCCAAGACAAATGCAGGACCCAGATGTCGCCGTTTATCACCGAGATATCTTAAACAGTTGACAGAGTTGGAATGTGGGCAGGTCAGATGTTAKTTCTGATTCTTAAAGATTTGGCAGCAGCACCTGTCTGCGTGTTGAAAGGGGGCACATATCTATTTCATGGTAAATTACAGTTTTAAAACATCAGTGTTAAAACGACTGCAGTTTTCAATTATGCCATTTCTTCAGTTTAAATACTTCAGTACAAAACAATAAAGACGGGGCTTCTTCTTAATTTTTTTTTTCTCCTCTGTTACAGGATCTGTTGCTCCAAGCTGTCATTCAGTTGTGTAAAGTAGGCAAAAGGGAATTTCTTAAAGTTTATGGTATGGTCATATTTTATCCAGTACATGACAAACCCGGCTTGTTAACCACAACATTGTGACCCCTTCTCCTAAATCTGGCATCGACATGTTTAATCGAAAAATTTAATTTTTTTTAAGTTTATAGTTTGTTGTTCAAACTAAACTCCAGCAGTCATTGGAGCCTGGATATGCTGGATGGATGCTTACTGGTCATAAATAATCCACTGTTTGAGCTGTTTTTTTTTTTTTTTTTAACATTTTGGCAAATTTTCACAACTTGGCAGATGGAAAAAAGTTGCCCCCCCCCCCCCACTCCAATGCAATCAAAAAGAGTGCATTTAAGCGTCAGCGTCTGTATCAACCAACCCCTCCTCCAGATGTCTGCACAATGCATTCCAAACCCCTGCCGTGCTGCTAAATCCCTCTGTTTATTAAACAAAGTATTAGATGTGACCCATTTTGTCAGACGGCATTTCCAATACCTCAACGTTTAGAGGAAAGACCGGCAACGTTTAGAGGAAAGACCAGCAGCTAAACTGCCTGAAGACATCAGCAGAATTTGGTGCCGCTAAAGCCATAGCTCTGGCTAGACAGATTTGAGAAATCCTTTTTTGCAAGGTGCTCTGAACACAAACCAAACATATTGCTCCACAGAGGATGGTGCATCTATTTTATCAGCTGGAAAGCAGTACTAAAACTAWAGGGGAATAGCCTCTTCTGTTTTGTTATATTTGAAGTTTTGTCAACAATAAGATGCCGTGCTGGGCAGTCGGTAATTTGGTTAAACATTACGTGTGTGTCCCTGCTCTGGCGGGGTTAATGATCTGTAGTAGGGTCACTAGTCGGACATGATTCTTGTAGTTGCTCAGATAGGAGTCATCGCATTGCAAAGCCCCTTGGCATAAGGTGCTCCACTGGCAGCCCCTGAAATGTTGCAGGTGTGTGTGTGTCTGAAGTCTGAACCCAAACTAACCCAACAGGTTTTTCCAGAACCAGTGGTCCATTTGTGCATGTGACTACCGTCCTTCCCATTAAAGACTTCATCTTAGTTGCAAACATGAGTTTGKTTTATTGGATGTAGAATATTAACATTTTAAAATAATTTGACATATACAGAATTGTTTATCTGCACTGCTTCTCAGGTAATCTTAAATTTTTGTCAGAATCAACAGATTTGCCAAATATACAGTAATGAATAATGCTTTAATCTTAGTTTGTTGGGTTGATTCCAGATTGTATTGTAGCTTTGACCTGCTTTCTGATTATGGCCAATTCCAAGTATTTGTGCAAATAAAATCCAACAGAAAAGAAGTTAGTTTAACCAAGTTATTGCTCTGCAATCTCTTTTACAGAAATCACACAATGTTTTGCACAAGAAACTTCTATATTCAAAATCAATTTTAGCTGTGTTCACTTCAAAAATCTTAAAACCCCTCCTGGATTTGTTAACGAGCAAGCGCTATAATCTTTTTCTTCCCTGCAGTCTGCTCGTGTACCCTGAAAATCAAGTAGAGATGTGTTGAAGTTTGGAGTCTCTTACTGCCAGGATTTTAWAGCTGCTGCATCAAACCTTGTATTAATGTGACAGCTGAGGTAGAAATGTCTTAAGCCTCCCTCTTCCTGCTGTCAGATTTGCTCCTGCTCGACATTTATGGTTCCGCCTCTTCTTAAAGTTTGGGTTATTCTAGGTGTGGTTGAACTTTCCACAGCTCAGTCTGCTGCATGTAAAYAACTCATTAGCATGGTTGTGCATCATAACAGATGTTAATGTGCCAGCAGGAATAATGTAAGTAGCACATCGTCCAAACCAGAAGGGATTTTAATTTTTTATTTTTTCCAGAAATTGTAGGCAATCCAATAAAATGCCAATATCTGACTAAAGCTRGTGCTAATCCAAAGTGGATTCAGCGTCTATACTTTCACAGTAACAAACCTTTTTAGCTCTAAAGCTAGTATGAGTCTTCTCACTCATCCTTCACAGCTTTCCTTTTTTTTGAACAGATGTTTAAATTTTTCGCTTTATTTTTTTAAACTCACTTATTCCAGATTTTTCCTCCGTGTTTCACAATTTTATCAAATCACAGAATTGTGCAATGACCTTGAATCTTAACAGAGGGGATAAAAACCTTCAAATTGGACAATAATTGGGTTTTTTTAGCTCCTTGATCT